TTATTTGTGTAGGATAGACGTCTATCCTGTAGAAATAGGCACCGGTGCTTCAGAAAAATCCGGTTTATTTTTCTAAGCATCTCTCTAAGCACCTCCTATTGTACAAGGCCTTATAAGCCTCACATTTGTTTTTTTTAGAAAAGAAGGATGGCACCCGACCTCTGCATCTGGGCAATGCATGCGGCCACTTTATTAAGTATTCTCACACGACCTTACAAAGTCATACAACAACAAGACTAAAGCCACCGTCTAAGCAACAACTGTCGCTACACCTATCCAATTGATAAAGGGGCGCTGATAGCCTGGGCATAATACCAAACAGACATCACAGCCAAACCTAAACATCTAATACCTGAGGTCCCAACCAGGACCCCTGCCTGGTATGGGGCTCCTACCAGTCCGGTGCACTCCTCAACCAGGACGCCTCCCGGGTATGAGGCTGTCGCAGCCACCTGCCACGAGTCCATCTTCAGAGCTGTACTGTTGCATCTACCGTGCCAGGTCTCTCTACCATCGACGCAACCACGACGCCAGACATCGTTTGCCTCACATTTGGCTTGATAAAGAATAAGATTAATCAAAGCAACTTCTGTTCAAAACTCCATTGTTAGGCTACTTCGAAATCAACCATGCAACCAAGATGACCAGGCTGTAAGAAAAGTCTGCCATAATATATAGACACTCGGTGAAGGGCGTCAAAACATCTATCACCTGATATGCATCAATTACGAGCCTCACGTTTAATTCGATCAATAATAAAATCAGTCGTCGATGCAATTTCTGTTCAAAACTATTGCTACACTCCTTCCAGAAACCACGCAATTAAGATGACCAGGTTGTTTTAGCTGATTCTTCTCTGGTTTCTCTCGGGAGGAAGCCCTTGCCAGAGCCCGCCATCCCTCTAAGGTGTTCTTGACGATCGGAGTAACATTGCATACTGATCAATATCTTTCATAACCCGCCTGCACCTAATCCGGTCCCTCAAATGTCCATGATGGTTTAGTTAAAAAATGTCAACGATGGCCCTCAAACGTCTACTATGGCCAGTCGCATGCATGTGATTGGTGGAGACAGAGAGAATAAACAAAAAGAAAGAGATGGTTCATAGTAGACAAAAACCCACACATATAAATTTTACACATGAGGGTAATATGAAAAGTGTCGGACAGTGTAGGCATTTAGAAAGGTTTTGAGAGAGCTAGTTAAGTTAACTTTTTCATTAATTAGTAGAGTCCGACTGAAGATGCTCCAGGGCTGCTAAAAATGCTCTACGCATAAGTGGATGATTAATATCTTCCATGGCTAACGAATACAGAGCTGGTTATGTCATAGACCTCGCGAGCAATCAGCCGTTCCGAGGAGCCCTGAATCTTCCAGATGATATTGTGAGCTGAAATACCAGTAGGCATACCCTCAAAGAATAAATATAAGGACCTATGAATATATGAAAAAGTTGTGGTACATATAAACATTACTCACTCGAAAGGAGCACTATTTTTTTAGAACACTTTTAAGTGAGGCGTTTTGGCTTGCAGGCTCAAATGAGCTCAAGAGTGATTTAAAAAATTGCTAAAAATGCTAAAAGAATTCAAAAAATTCTAAATGTCTTTTGGAGAAAGATGACGAAGTGTGCAACGTTCGTGTCAAATTTCAGAGCAATTGGATGTCAGGATAGGTCTCGGCAAAAGGATAAATTTAAGGTCTGTGAAAAATTTATTGTGTGAACCTGATTTTTTTCTTCTTCTGAGAACTACTCAAAAGTTCAAAGCACCCACCTCACGCACTCAGTCATCTTTCTTCATAAAAAATTGGTATTTTTTAAAATTTGTTCGTATTATTATTTAATTTGCTGCTCACTGTTTTTAGATGAGCAGGGTTCAGAATTGAATAATTGAAAACTTTCGGTCTGTCAATATCAACCGGAAACATCCTTTAAAAAAAGCTGATTTTATCAAGGTAGTACAAAGAACACTATAAATAAAATTTACATCTATAAATAAAATTTACATCTACATCCATAGCCATCCATAGCACCTAAGGGCTACTACAAGTACACGTTGTCATCATTATCATTCCCGCCATTATTACCCCTTTATTGTTCCTTGTTGTAGTATCATCAACCTTCCCACCGTCATTACCCCTCCCTTGCCAGCACCGTCATCACCCGTTCTTTATTGCAGGGGAACGTAGGAGAATGTCGGGGAACGTCGAGAAGTCGTTATGCTAAGTCTAGACCGCCGTGACTCATCCAAACTCACCCAAAAGGGAACATTAACATCACCCAAATTAAGTTTCTCAAGTCAATAGTGAAAATCGACAAGGTGACTTCGATTGTTGCTTCGATTATTTTTTACTTTTGGGAAAACATGAATATTTCTCCACTTTAAAAAAAGAAACTTTTTATAATTTGAAGTTTTGTTATTAAGTTGTAACATTTTTCTAAACTTCAATTTTTGAACACATGATTTTTTTAAATAATTGTAATAAAACTTCTCTTTCCATCACAATTGTTAGCTGGGCCGGTTGGACGTGACCGGTTGGCAGGTCATGGGATTAAATTCTTTCATCGGCAATTTTATTTTTTTGCTAGCTCTCCAGCCCTAGGCCACAGTGCGCTCATCGGCAGTTTTATTTTTTTGCTAGCTCTCCAGGCCTAGGCCACAATGCGCCGCTAGGTTTCATCATATCTGTGAGTTGAGTCAATTAAAAAGATTGTGTGTGACCAATTGGCAGGTCACAGAATCGAAACCTCTCATTGACAATTTTATTTTTGTGCTAACTCTCCGGGCCTCTGATATTAAGAAAAATATCAAAATCAAGAAAAAAACAGACAAAAAGAACATGACATGAAGAAGAAAACTTATTATAACGATGAATTCACGAAGTCAATCCATACTTTATTATTAAAAAAGTAGCAGGGACCTTTAAAATAAACTGCTGCTCATCAACTCAACCTAGTATGAAGGACGCTATAAATAAAATTACATCTACAACCGTAGATGGAGCACCTAACAACTACTAATAAACTGCTGCTCATCAACTCAACCTAGTATGAAGGACACTATAAATAAAATTACATCAACCGTAGATAGAGCACCTAACAACTACTAATAAACTGCTGCTCATCAACTCAACCTAGTATGAAGGACACTATAAAATTACATCTACAACCGTAGATAGAGCACCTAACAACTACTACAAACACGCAGATAGAACACCTAACGACTACTACAAGCACGCGCCGCTGTCACCCTTCTCTTGTTGTAGTACCATCACCCCTTCCGCAGTCATTTCCCTCACCGGCGCCGTCATCACCCATTCCTCAGTTCCATACGTCATTACCCCTCCCTCGCCGCCGTCATCACCCGTTCTTAGAAGACAGTCGAAAAATTGTCGTGCTAAGTCTGACCGCCGCAACTCATCCAAAAGGGAACATTAACATCACTCAGATTAAGTTTCTCGAGTCAATGGTGAAAATCGACAAGGTGACTCGATTGTTGCTTCGAGTAAAAGGAAATCCAAAAGTCGCAAAAATAACACACGAAGCATGTATCACTACTTTCTACAACGTGTAGATTTCACAACATGTTTTTACAGATACGTGAACTGTACATGATGTACATACACGTGAACACACGCACGTACACACACGACTAGGACTAGTATAGACTCGACTATTCCTTGGTCTTGAGCTTGGCGCCTGCTCGGACGCACGACTTGACCAAACTCTTGAGCCCCTTCTTCCCTTTCTTCCCGCTCCCGGGACTCCCCGGTTCAGCCCCAGCCCCGCCGCTGCCGTTCATCATCATCCTCATCGTCCTCCTCGCCGACTCCGCCGTCTCCATGCTCGACGACATCTCCATGCGCTCCTCCTCCATCCGGAGCACCCGGTCCTCCAGGAACGCGATGCGCTCCACCAGGCTCCCCTTGGCCTTGGTCTCCCGCAGCAGCTCCTCCGCCGACCGGCACCCGTGAGGTCGAGCCCGAGGCGTGGTCGGGGACGACGATGACAAGGTGCTTGTGGCGGTGGTGGAAGACCTGCCGCTGCCGCTGTGGCGCAGCTCCTCCAAGTACCCCACCACCAGGTCCAGCCGGTCCACCCGCGCCATCATGCTCCCAGCCGCCGGCAGCTGGTGCTGGTGCTGCCCGCCGTGGCTGTGGCTCACCGCCGATGAAGCCATAACTGTTCTTCTGTCTCCGGCCCTATGTGTGTGCGTGCGCGTGTCTGGAAGTATCTCGATCTTATCAAGTTGGAACTTGGAAGAGAATTGATCTGCTATCGATCATGTGACACATGCATGGAGCAGGTATAAATAAGTAGCAGAGCCGCCATGGCCGATCGGATGGACATGGAATGGAGAGGCAGCTAGCTAGCTGCACGTGTCTGTCACGGAGGTGGCGACGTGGCGCATGTATGCATGCAACGGCGGTGCGTGCATGCCTGAGGTGCTCGCGTACGTGTCCTGCTTCGCAGCCGCCAGCGAAATACTACTCCACGTTCCTTCTCGCAACCAACAGCCACGCGCCACCAACAGCCACGCGCCACGTGCACGTGTAGCCAGGCCACGAGCCCCCATCTACTCCGTCTGGAAGACGCCTCTACTCGACGACGAAAGAATTATTTTATGTTTGTACACGACCAAAATAATTTCTCACATCGACGACGAAGCCGGCCATCTCGATCGTCCGTCCGAGGAAGCTCATTATTTTATGTTTGTTGCTGCTATATGTGTATAATTAGACATGGCAGGCATGCGACCGGCCAACGCTCCGGCGATGTCGGTGGTTTATGCGGCCAACCGGCCATGATCGAGAAGACTGAGCTGGTCCGTTCATGCATACGCGGCTCTCCGTCACCGAGGGCCGCGAGCGACATCGCCGGAGCGCCGCGCGTCCGCGCATAAATATGGTACCACACCACACAAGCCATCACAAGCTCACAATCCCACAGCAGCAGAACCACACACACAAGAATCGATCAACCAACCAACCGACGGGAGATGGCTTCATCGAGCAGGATGCTGGTGGCGGCGGCGGTGGCCGCCCTGGTGGGCGTGGCGTGGTGCGCGCCGCCGCCGGTGAGCTTCACGGTGGAGAAGGGGTCCGACAAGACGCATCTGGCGCTGCAGATCAAGTACGACAAGGCCGGCGACAGCATGAAGGAGGTGGAGCTGAAGCAGAAGGAGGACTGGCTGCCCCTGAAGAAGGGCTACAGCGGCGCGTGGGAGATCAAGAGCGACAAGCCCCTCGAGGGCCCCTACAGCTTCCGCTACGAGACCGAGAAGGGCCAGCGCAACGTCTTCGACGACGTCATCCCCACAGATTTCAAGTGCGGCTCCACCTACAAGCCAGAGGCGACCTACTGAGATTCACCCATGCATCGGTTCCGCCATCATCGATCGACCTCGCAACTAAGATCGTGTCATAAGACGCACGTACGGATACTAATAAGTTACTCCCTCTGTAAACTAATATAAGAATGTTTAGATTACTACTTTAGTATTCTAAACGCTCTTATATTAGTTTACGGAGGTAGTAGATAATATTACCTTCGTCCTGAATTAATTGTCTAATTCGGGACGAAGGAGGTAATAGGAGAAGCAACGGCCGGCGGTCGGTTGTATTTGCTCTCCCGTACGCTCGTTGTCTTGATTGACCATTTCTCTTTTTTTTTACCCAATCTTTTCAATATTATTTGTAATATTATTTGTAAGATATGCAGTGCTCACAAGGAGCTCTCACTCTCCTACATAGTCAGTGATGATATGAATGGAGACCAGTGTAAGACGTATTCTGTCGAGGAGATCAGAGAAGGAGCCCATGAAGGCACTAGGACCTAACGGTTCCCCGACGCCTTTCTAATAGACCCATTAGAAACGCTTTTAAAGAGGGAATTTCTACAATTATTAGCGGTTTCTTGGTAGGAGATATAATTCTCAAGGAGTTGTTCGACTCTACCATTGTTGCGATCTCAAAGGAAAACAACCCAAACAATAAAGAAAAACACACATGTATGCACACATTCATTCTGGTGGTGCGGCATCCCAATGGGATGTTGCCTATATGAAGAGCACATGCTTGCAGGTAAGAATCATACGTATCAGACTGACATCATCACACTAACACTTCTGCTTCTTTTCATAAGTAAGGGTATGATAGTCATATTTTATAAACTCTTCATCTATACACTGTACATGAACCACAAAAAAGGTGCATGCTGCAAGATTCGTACCAAGATCGTTCAGCAATTAGCACATCCGCCTTAACCAATGGAGCAACCAGACCTAAGGTGTTAAGTATGTTTTCTTATACTTGAAATAGAACACTGGAAAAACGCAACATTTTCTTTTTGTTTCTTAAATGCGTGAACTTTTTATAATTCATGTTTTTTTAAATGACGACAAAATTTCAAATTCCTGATTTTTTTCTTCCAAATCAATGAACTTTTTTTTTCCAAAATTGGTTAGTCTTTTTCACAAATTCATGAACTATTTTGCAAATTGGTGATTTGTTTTTGAAAATTGTTGAACTTTTTTATAAAATTGATGAACTTTGTTTCTAAACCAATGATTTTTTTTTCAAATTTGTGATTTTTTTTCAAAATCAATAAACTTTTCTTTCAAAATCAATGAACTTATTTTGAATTTTAGATGAACTTTTTTCAAAATCAATAAAAGAAATAGAAAAAAGAAAAGAAAAACAAAATAATATAAAAAATCATGTAAAAACCGAAGAAAAAACCAGCCTGGTTGAAAAGGAAAACCAGTGTCTTTCTTTTTAGCGTTATATTTGACGCACTACAAAAGATGTAAAAAGAAAAACATAGACCATGACCAACGGAGGTGTTCAAGTAGGCGAGATGGCTCCGTCTAAGAGCACGTCGTTTCCCGACATGCTTGAAATGACCCCAATTTTTTGTCATGCCTTGTATGACCAATTCAATGCACCATGCCAAGTTGTTTTGGTTTTTGACAAGTTTTGCATTTTCAGAGTTTCCTCGGTCAAAAACGCCCAATAAATGGGCGGACGTGTCGCAACTTGCATACGGTGTCAGAAATCGTTCAAACTTGGCATGGATGACTACCATGGTCATGCCCACGTGCTTGAAAAATTTAGGGTCATTTCAAGAATGTCTAAAAGTAGACCATGTTCAGTGAAGGGTGTTCGGGTTAGCCAGAAGGCTCCGCCTGAGGGTATGTTGTCTCTCAACATCCTTCAAATGGCCTCAAAAAATTTCCACCTCATTCTATGATCAAATCAAGGCACCATGGCTAGTTGTTTGAGTTTTCGATAATTTTTACATTTTCTGGAGTTTTCTCGGTAAAAATAGGTCGATAAATGGCCAGACGTGACACAACTTGCATACGGTGTGGGGAATTTGTTCAAACCTAGCATGGATGCCTACTATGGGCATTCTCACCTACTGGAATAAGTTGGGGTCATTTCATGCATGTCGAAAAATAGATCATGTTCAACGGAGGGTGTTCGGGTAGGCGAGAAGGATCCATTTGAGAGCATGCTTTTGCGGCATCCATTAACTCACCCAAAATCTTTTCATGATCTTATACGACCGATTAAACACACCATGCCAAGTTGTCTTGGTTTTCAACAAATTTGATCTTTTCTCAGTTAAAAAAGGCAGATAAATGCGGGACGTGTCGCAACTTGCATATTTTGTTGGAAATCGTTCGAACCTGACATGGATCCTTACCATGGGTATGTCCCCTTGCCTGCAAAAGTTGGAGTCATTTAAAAAATATTCAAAACTAGACCATGTTCAATGAATAATGCACAGGGATGGGCATACCCATGGTAGGCAACCATGCTAGGTCTAACAATTTCCAACACTGTATGCAAGTTGCGACATGTTCGCCCATTTTATCGGTCTTCTTTTACTAAGAACACTCCAGAAAATGCAGAATTTGTCGAATACCAAATCAACTTGGCATGGTGCCTTGAATTGCTCATAGAAGGCCATGGAAAAAACCGGGTCCATTTCTTCTTCTTTTTTGCTGGGGAAATTGGGGCCATTTCAAAGATGTTGAAAAATAACATGCTCTCAGACGAACCATTCTGACCTTATCGAATAATCTCCGTTGAACATGGTGTTTTTTAGACATCCTTAAAATGACCCCAACTAATAAATACAAAAGGATAAAATTGAAAACAGTAAGTGTTTTTCTAAAAGCATTTAATAAATATTTCATAAAAAAGAATTTAAAATCATTAGTTTAAAAAGTTAGTTAAAATTTGTATTTTCGTATTCAAAAAAGATAAAAATGAATTAACAAAATAAGAAATAAAATTAAAAAATAGAAAATAAAATAAAACGCTTAGGCCTTGGCCCAACTAGGCGATGATACTCTACTAGACACATGTTGGGCCGGTCCAAGAGCTGATTTGGAAAAAGTTCATCAATTTTTTACAAAATATTCGTGGATTTGAAAATTTTAACAAAATTTTTAAAAAAAATTACTAAGGAAATTTGCAAAAAAAAAATTCTCGTTTTTTCGAACCTCAGCTTCCCAGCCATTGTTTCCGGTTTTGGGACCTTCTTGGAGGTCGTGAACCATGTTTTTTCTTTTTCCTTTTATCTTCTCTCTTGTTTATTTTTTTGTCTTCTTTGACTTTTTGTTTATTCTATTTATTGTTTCTATTTCTCATAAATTTAACTTTTTCAGAATTCAAATTTCGTTCATATTTTTCTGTTTTTTCGGAATTCCAAATTTGTTACTTTTTTTCAAAAATGTCCATGTTCAAAATTTTGTTCTTTTTTTAAACTGTTCCTGTTTTGACATTCTGAGCAAGTTTGAAAGGCATGATTTAAAAAAAATTAAGAATAATATTAAAAAACTACAAATATTAGTATTTTAAGAACAAAACAGGAAACTAAAAACCCTAACAAAAACCATGCAAAAAAAGAAAGAAAGCTAAACGAAAGAGTGAAGGTGTCTTTTTTTCTTGGCGTTATGTCTCTCGCACAAGAAGAAGAAAACAAGATTTGTAGGCTAATGAGAGATGCTATCCCAGACAGTTTGTGCGGTTACACGTAGTGCGCGGGGGCAGTAGTTCAAATCCGCCGAGGACATCCATTTTTTGTTTTTTGAAACTAGAAAACCTAAATGGGCTGATTTCATGTGGGAGGGCTGTTTTTTTCATGGTAATACATGTCTCATTCATATTATAAAAATTAAAGTACAAGTCACGTAAGGACCGACATGAAAAAACTGAAAAGATAGAAGAACATCTCTGAGCTTGACACCAACGCCCGTTACCTGCCTCCGGCACCATCATGGCAGCCACCGAAAAAACGAATGACGGCTCACCTCCTCACCTGAGCTCGACGCGGCTCCATAGCTGATATGCAGCTTTGCGGACCTTCAAGGTGGCTGTTCGCCGGGGTATTATAGGAACCTACAACATATACTTTCTACTACATAGGAAAGTAAGTACAATTTGTGAAAAGTCCATACTACCCTTTATACATTTTGTGAGGGGGTGTACCAAAGTGGGACTCGTAACACTAATTGTTATTTTTGAAATTAGAATGATTTGTCTCATAAACCATTCATCCAATTACTGACCCGTCTTCACTAGTGGGTTTGCTTCGGCAAAGGCTTTGAATCGAGATCACATGTTGACATGCTCTAGTGTTTTATTTGTGAGGTAATATCACCAGTGGTGTTTAAACTTGTCACTGACGCTCACTTTAGTGTCTAAACTTGAAAAATACGTCTAACATGATGAGAAATGTGATGATAATCTCATCCATAGACGTATAATGCGCTGACATGGGACAATATTTTAATTGTCATGCATATGGGGCATGGGACCCACTTCCAATAGATGATTTGCGTTATATGTGTCTACATGACTAGTGAGCCGCATATGTCAGCATGATGAGAAATGAAAGATAAAAATTGTAGTGTAGCAAAAGCACCTGGCCTAGCCAAAGCACCATTCATATTTTCATGTCCAAAAACAATAACGACATTTAATATCCTGTGTAGGAATACGTTTGTGGGTTTTACATGTCCGTGTAGCCCATTTGCACATGTTAGCTTCTTTTTTTAATTTGTAAATTATAATCACAGAAATAAAAGTAATTTATAATATGCGTGTGTTATAAACATTTTAGGGACAAATAAAATAAAATATTCACTTA